GCCAGCTTTCTTAATGCCACAGCAGCACTGGAGAATGAACCAGGCTCTACTAGTAGGGTGCCTAATCCCTCCTCACTGAGGTGAGGGTCTTCAGTCCCACAGGAAAGTAAACTGATGGCCACTGAGAGCCTGGCTTTGCAATCAGAAAAGCAGAACCAGGTGACCTGAGACTGGGCTGGGCCTGCCCCACACAGACCCTACTTGGTGTATTCACTGTAGAGATTGGACTGTAGAGCAGCTCTCCAGCCCTGGGCACAGGAGCACCACTGCTGCAAGAGATAAGAGAACAAAGACTAGGCAACCACATACCCCTCATCTTGGTAAGACAACAAGCACCCAAAAGAATGGATGGTCAGGTCCTTAACCAACACAGGCTCCAGGGGAGAAGAAAACTACAGAAGGTGGATGGAGAAGGTAACCAGGAACATCCATCCCAACGCCAGCCTTTCCCCATGTACCCCCTCCTGTGAAATGCAGAAAGCCTCTCACTTTTCCCCAGACACTGAGGAAGAACTGCCTTCTAAACCATTCCCTCTCCCGGTCCCCAAAGAGCCCTGTGAAGCACGCCTTATAAACTGTCCAGGTGTTAAGATGAAGTAAACGAGTAAGAACTGAAATAGGCCAGGTTTACTGGGGAGTAAAAGGTGCAGGCAGCGACTGTGATATAATATGTCCATTAACAACAAATAAATACACTTTAGGAAATTCTAAACCACCTGTGCAGGTAAGGACTTGAGATTCTAGTCTACATTTAAAGAAACACCTAATACTATACCTAAAATAATGGAAACACTCCCAAGACCTTTCCAATCTTTAAACTGCACTTCACACACTATGTTTTTCTTCCACAGTGTGATTAAGGTTTTTTTATTTTATGTGAAACAAAGCCCCAGGGAGTTCAAAAAGTCCTGTTCTCAAAAATAAAAGCCAAGGGGAATCAATATTCATAAAGCTAAACAAAAAAGATACTGTGAAATTAAAAGCAGTGACTAATTCAATCCAAACAACTAGGTCATGCTCAAATTCCAGTAATTCTAAAACAGATATACTAAGGCAAGAATTCTGCTTTGCTTCAGTAGTCAAAATGAAGGACCCATTCAAGGGCAGGAGCAGTAAACACAGGCACAAAGAGAAGGCTAGAGCAGCACTGGGGGTGGGGGAAAGCAGACCAAGGCAAGGTTACCAATATGGCACTACCTGCGAATTTGAAAGGGCATGAGAATAACAAAGCTATTTCTCACAAAGACCACACAATCGCTCAGCAAACATCTGACTCTCCCAGAGACTACAAAGCCTCAGACACGTCTCCCTGCTTAGAGGAAGCCAGTGAACAATCTAATCAAAAGAGATATCATGACACTCACAAACACCAAAGAAACAAGACAAAGTACCCTGAACGAAGTCAGACAGGTAGCTCAGGTGTGCAAAAAACTGAAGAGGCCAAAGGACTTGGCAGGGGATAAAGGCATTATATTACTAAGTGAACAAGAGAAATTAAAGTTAAAACTATATAAATAATTCAATCTACTGATTTAGGTTGCTTTCTTGTTATTCCTAAAGTTGACGTGGAAGAATCTGGAAGGTAGGCTATTTAGTGGAAATTCACATTCAATGCAAGTTGGAGTCTCTAAGACACTCTTCCAATTTAAAAACACAGGATTCATTCTTTTGCTGAAATGGAATATCAAAGCACTAGAATTTTGCTGCAGGCCAATGTCCTGGCCACCAAATCTTAACACACTGTCCCACTTCAAGGGTACTTGACTTTCCCAGTTTAAATGTCATAGCAGCAGAATAAAATGAAATCATAAATATCCCACATGAAGAAACCTGCTCTTGGACAAGAACACGGGACCAGTCATGAGCAGGAAAGGCGCAAAAGGAAGGGCAGGCTGGCTTTGGGATGCAGGCGGAATTCGGGCTCTGCAATAGCCGTGTGGACTTTCAGGTTGACATTTAAGCATCATCACAAACCTCCTTTGCATTTCCCAAAGAATCTCCTGTCACTCAACCCAACTGTCTTAAATAAGACAGGCAAGTAATTGACAAGGTGATCAGATCTTTTCTACAAGAACTTTTAAAATCGATGGTTTGCTGAATGAGGATTTTCCAAAATACTACATTTCCAAAACCAAAATAAGAAAAATCTAGCATTAACACTTCCCTCAGGCAACTGTATAAATGCAGTTCAGGCTAGAAAATTCAAGACAGGGCCAAACTAGTCTTTTCTCATAAAAGCATTTTAAAAGATACTAATGCAACTTTATGTTTCTTCTGTATAATCTCAAGGGAGATAGTAATTTACTATCTAATGCCCCAAAGTTGAAAAAAATTAAAAGTCCAGTTCTCTCACCATTATAAAATTGTTACAATTTATAGAACATCATACTTTAATTGAATGTAAAATTTAGTAACCAATTTTGTGTTCCTAAAAGCAAAAATGATGTCTTAAAAAGACAAAAAGACACTAATAGATTTAAAAGTTTCTGTTAAAGTGTTTTAATGATCTAGGCACTGAACAAATAGATTTTTAAGGTACACCCTAACTGAACATGCAAGATAATTGTGCCCTCACCAGGTTCTGTGGTAGCTTTTAGTATTTTAGCTCTTAACATCTCCTTCCAAATTTTAACTATTACTGACAAATGATAGCTATCACAGAAAAATATGAAAAGAAAACATGTTTTCCCCGTCTTCATAATGGAATTAAAAATGTGATGCAATAACCTTTTTCCACTCTGCTGAGCCCTTTGTTAGTTCTACAAAAAATACAATCCTAAACAAATAGAAAAGATAGTCTTCTGATTATAAATATGACACACATATACTTGCGATTTATTCCCATTCAATATACTGTATAAGATTTTGCCATTTTTCAACCATTTTTTTGTTTCACACATTGAAAAAATAATAATCTCTTCCTCACAGTCTGGATTGCCAACCAGGTATGACCCATTTGAAAAGCAAATAAGCAAAACAATAACCAAGGAATGGGCTCCTTTCTGCATCTCAGTACAAGCTTGTTTGTGAAATTTGCAATTGCTACAAATCAAAAAATAAAGAGCTATGCTTAGAAAAATATTCCAGACTCACTGTTTACTTCTGAAAGTTCTTGGAATTCCCCCATAGAGAACTTTATTTGTTCAATAACCTTGTCTTTCCCTGTGTGGTTAACACTAAGTTTATTAATGTTCCTTCTCTGGATTAGGAACAGGTTTTAAGTAGCTGCTTCATACCACACTTTATACAACTTAGTGATACAATAAAGAAGTATTTTGCTTCCATGAATAAAATACAATAACAAATATAAAACAAACTGAAGAGTCCACCAAGTCACAGACTGTGTGACAAGACACCAGATAATCACACAGAATGGATGGCTCAGTTTACTGGGAACTCAATACATTGGCTTTTTTCAAGCTAAAGAATTAAACTCACCCTAGATCTGGGGCAACTGAAAGATGTTACCTTTGGAAATATTGGTATCCAATTCCTTCCTAATACTATTAGGAGCTACATTCTTGTTGGTACTTAGATTAGAACAAAGATTTGAGTGGCATTCAGTCTTCCATTTCACTACCCCTCAGTGTACCCTGGGGGTGGGAAACCCAGGTGTACACTGGAATGATACTATTAGTGCATGCTTTGTGCTTGGGACACTTAGAATGGTACTAAACAAACCAGTGCTATAAAAATCACTAATTTAAAGAACTACAAAGGATGAAGAAAGAGTTCCCAGCAAAAGACCTGCTTGAGGCTAATCAAGGAGACTCAAGAAAATCCCAGACAAAGAAAAGGTAAAAGTATGGATACAGTAAAAATAACATTTTTTGCAAGAATTTGGGGTAAGATAAACTGGTGAAGCACAGATTTTTTAGGAGACTGAAACTACTGTGTATGATACTACAATGGTGGATACATGCTGTTACACATTTGTGCAAACCCACAGAATACCAAAGACAAAGAGTGAACTCTAATGTGAACCATGAACTCTTGTGAAGATAATATGCCGATGCAGCTGCAAGGGTTGGAACACAGGTACCACTCTGGTGCAGGTGTGGATAAGGGTAGAGGTTATATTTGTGTGGGATGGATTTGGGGACGTATATGGAATATCTCCATACCTCCTGTTCAGTTTTGCTGTAAAACTAAAATTACCATTTAAAAAAAGTCTTTAAAAAAAAAAAAATCCCAGACAACTAGTCCTGGAATTCTCCCACTTGCATAAAATGTTTTTTTAAAAAAAGAAAAAAGAAACAAGTCTGTTGGAAAACACTCCCCAGGGGACTCTTGTCAGCTTTTTGTCCCTTCCATCTCTTATAAATCACTGCCAGAAAGCTCCAACTCTGAACATTTACCAAGAAACAAATCTTAATATGGCTATAAAGCCCAGACTTGTCAGGAAATACCCAAGGAAACTTCCCCAGAGACTTCATCCTCCATGCTCTAGTGTGCTGGGTGAAACTGCAATCTGAGGATTTAGTCATGCATTACAGTCTGAAATGTTTGTCTTTACTTATCTGTCATTCACCCAATTACAGAACAATCTTCTCTGGAATTCTTAGGAAAAATGAGCCATAATTTTGACTTGATGATTACACTCTGAATTTAAACAAAAGAATATGATGCTAGACACTTAAAACTCAGACTCCTCCCTTCCACCTGTGTCTAATTTACATCACAGCCAAGGCCCAGCAAGTGACTAATGTCACACAGGTCCCAGGTTTTCTGCTCAGCCACCTAAAATTTCCTTCCACAAAATGTGGCTAATTTGAGAAGTGGGAAACGGGGATAGGATATATTTTGACTTTGGAAGTCTCAATCTTCCCATTAGAAGACAACACTTGCCTTTTGCTTGCTCCCACGTCTCTATTTACATTAAAGAGCTTTCCTAGAGAACCTGTAAGGTTAAATGACCATTCTGCCAAATGAGAAACAAATGTCACCAAAACTGCAACCTGAAACACACCACAGAAGAAAACAAGATCCTTTCCACTTACCTGGGAAAGCGTGTGGATTGGGCGATCCTCTCTTAAGGCACTTAGAACAGAGGATGTGCACGGTGTAGTGCAGTCCGGGCCATTCCTGAAGTAGGACATTCAGTTCCTCTACCAAGGGGGTAATAGCTTGCCATGCAGTCCATATATTTGGTAATGATGCATGGCTGGCAATGGACAGGGTGTCTGGTTGTAGGACCCCCTTGGCAGGTCTGTAACTCACCACCACAGGAACTTTCCCTCTATATGCAAAGATCTGAAATTTACCATCTGACCTGTGCACCACATGGCTGTTGATCTGGACGCTGTAGCGAGCAAACAACCCAGGTGGAAAGGTAAAGGGGAAACTATATTCAATTTGCAACTGCTCAGCCACAAAAGACTGGCCAGCTAGGTTGGTCCCATTAATCCAGGCCTCTGCATGGGGCACATCATTCTGCACATAGCATGGGAACTTGTACCAAGCTGTTGAGCCATTCAAAGGCTTGCCCTTGGGTTTATTGAGGCAGTAACAGAGTCCCATCTTCTCTAGCAGCTCTAGCAGTAGCTGCAAGTCCTCTTGGGCCTGGACATGAGGCTTGAGCAGCAACCGAATCACATGGGCTGGCAGGAGCCCATGCAGCAGAAAGCCCTCTACATAATGATGGAGCTGGGTGGCCCGGAGCACATCCTGGTTCGAGGTGGGCAGTGCCATAGCAGGGAAACTTTCCCCCTCGGCCTCACCCTCTCCACTGGTCCCCAGGAGCAGTTTATGCAGCAGCAAGGAAGCATCCCTCTGGAAAAAGACATTGAGGATGTCGATGAGGCGGGTAAGGTTGTGGAAGACATGCTCCTTGAGGGCTGGGCTGTCCTCAAAGTAGAGCAGCTTGCCACTCTCATGCAAATAGGAAAGGGCACTCTGCAGCCGGTCCTCGGTCAGACCAGCCTGCAGGCCCAGACGTGCTGAGTCCCACCAGCTTAGCCAAAGTCGTTGTGCCTGAGGGGGCTGGAAATGCAGTTCTTCCAGCACCTGCCAGGACCGAGGCAGGACTCTATGTAAGTTGGGGAAGATTTCTCGGTGCTCAGCCACTGAGAGCAGCTTGTCCCTAAGACGCTGCAATAGGCGGGGATCCCAGCAGCTAACAGGCAACACAGGTGAGAGGATCTGCAGCCGGTGGTTAAGTAGGTACTGAAAATGAGCTTTGCGCCGCCGAAGGTTCTTGTCTGAAACACCATAGTAGGCTGCATGGGGGCTGGCAGAGCGCAGCTCAAAGTCCCGGGCCAAGGCCTCATCTACTACCTGGGCTAGGTGGCTCAGGCCCTCTGCGTCGTGCTTCTCCTGCAGTGCAATCTGGCGGTGAATGTCCAAACACTTCTCCTCCAGCTCCCGCTCAGCACACAGGTCAGCATGTGTGCCCACAATGCACACCACGGCATGAGGCACCCGAGCCCCTACCCGATGCAAGAAGGAGCCCACAGTGGTGGGAAAGCAGCATGGTTCATAGGTGGCCAAGTTGACCACCAGCACATACAGAGCCCCTGGGGAGAGAAAGAAAGGCTGAATCACTTCATAACTTTCATCACCAGCTAAGTCATACACGACGAACCGCAGGCCCCGGGAGGCATCAGCCGTCCAGCTTGTCACCTCGATGCCCTTGCTCCCAGGGGAAGGAGAAGGTGAGTAACTCTTCTCCTTGTCCCCTCCTCCTTGGCTTCCCCCTACTCTCTCCTCCGTGAGGCAGTGCCTGAGCAAGGTCTTTCCTGAAGCCTTGTGGCCCATGAGGAGCAGCTTGAGACGTGGCTGCACTGCAGGCTGCGAATGAGCCAGCTCCTTCTGGTAGGCTGCGATGTAGGGGATCCCCTTCATGCACACTTCGTAGGGGGGCTGGATCAGTGGGTTGTCCTTGATCTTCCACAGGCCCACCCGGGAGAGCTGGCCAAAGTTGTCAGGCAGCACAGCGATCTGGTTCCCTTGCAACACCAGCTCCTCCAGCCCAGTCAGCTCCACAATGGAGTCTGGCAGGTAGCGGATGCGGTTATTATCCAGCCACAAAGTAAGAAGCCGGCCCAGCCCCGAGATAAGGGATGGCACTGAGGTGAGCTGGTTTCGACTAAGGTAGAGCTCCTCCAGACCAGCCAGGGGCAGCAGCGTGGCAGGAAACTCCTCAAAGAGATTGGAAGAGAGGTTGAGCATTTTGAGCCGTTGAAGGTGGCTGAACTGCTCAGGCAGAGCCTGCAGCCCGTTGTTGTCTAGCATGAGGCTCTCCAAACTGGCCAGCTGGCAGAAGCCATTGGGCAGGGTGCCCAGTTCAGCCCCACTCAGCCAGAGGATCTTGATGGCACGCAGGGCACTAATATCCTCAGGTAGGCCTCGAAGCCGGTTGCTGGACACGTCCAGCTCCTCCAGAGCCGCCAGCTGCAGCAGCTGCCGGGGAAAGGCAGTGAGCTGGTTGTGGTCCACGTCAAGAGTGCGCAGGCGGTGGAGGCAGGAGAGGGAGTCAGGCAGGTGCGCCAGCCGGTTGAAGCTGACGTCCAGCTCCTCCAGGTGGGCGAGGGCACCCAGCTGGGCGGGTAGGCAGGGCAGATGGTTGTGGCTGAGGTTGAGCTTGCGCAGCTCCCTTAGGGCGCTCACAACCTCCGCACCCAGGGCGGTCAGCCGGTTGTGACTCAGGTCCAGCTCGGTGAGGTGGTGGCCGAGCTCAGCCACCGCAGGGGGCAGCCGGGCGAAGCGGTTCCTGCGCAGGATCAAGACGCGCAGGCTGCCCAGAGCTGACCCTAGCCCGTCCGGCACCTCCTCCAGGCCATTGTTCCCCAGGTTTAGCACCTCAATGTCTCCGATGTTGGCTGGCAGCACCAGCTGAGGGGAGTCGGGGGATTCCAGGGGGTCGGCTCCGGCCCCGGGAAAGCCCCCGGCCGCGCTGAGGGTCAGCTGGCGCAGGTTGCTCCTCAGCTTCCTGGCACGCAGGGCGGCGTCCCGCCACAGCCTCACCGTCTTCAGGTTGCCACTGTCCTTGCCAGCCATGGCGGGGGCCCCAGGCCGACACCCTCACGCGGGCTCCCGCAGCTGCATGCCGTTCCACACTCCGGACAGCGCCGGTCTCCCGGGCCCTCCGGCTCCCGCTCCTGCCTGGCCACTCCGCCCCAGCGGCCGGAGGCCGTGGGTCCTAGCGCAGCCAGCTGCCCGGCGCCCGCAGCTGGGGGGCGGCGGCGACGCGAGCAGCTCTCGGGGGCGCTGAGCGCTCGGCCTGAGGGGAGGCGGCGGCCGGCGCGGGGTGCAGCTCGCATTCTCCGGGCTCCCGGGCCATGGGCGCGCCGGGCCGCAGCCGCGGAGGATGCCTGCTCCTCCTCCCGCTCCTCCCGTCCGCGGCGCCTGGATGCCCGGCTCCGGCCCCGCTACCCTCGCCGCCGCAGCCCCGCGATTGGCAGCGGCGTGGCCTCCGCGAGCTCCGGGAGGAGGGCGGCGTTGGGCTCCGCGGCGGGCATGATGCGGGCGCAGGGCCGGGGCGCAGCCGTGTAGAGGGGGCGGCGGCGCCTCCGCGTCTCCGCTTCCCCGGGCTCGGGCAGGAGCGCGAGCGCTGCGTCCCCGGCGCTGGGAGGGCGCGATCGGGAAGCGGCAGCGCCGCCCGGCCGAGCAGCCCCCACGTGACCGGCGGAGGCGCCGCTTGTTCCCGGCACCGCCCCGGGGGCGGGAGCCGCGGCCCAGCGCTGGGTGCGGGGCTGGGGGCGCCGGCCAGGAGCCGGCCCGGAGCCGGCCTGCGACAGGCAGCTGGCTGGGCGGAGAGGCCGCCCTCCCTGTTGATGTGGAGCTCCAGGGCTCTCCGGGTGGGCTGGCCCACGCTGGGCTCTTTGTTGGCCCTGAGTCTCTAAGGATTTCTTTTTCTTCCCCAGTGTGTGAGATCCGCTGGCTTCCCTCACTTATTCTTTACCCCTTCCCCGTTCCATCCACCCTACATCCAAAACGTAAAGAAACTGGCAAAATTCAGGGTCCTGGTCTCATTGCTGGGGCTTAGAGAGAGGTAGTGGTTAAACAAAAGAATTGAGGAAAACGGGCATTCATTCATTTGGTAAATATTTATAGGAGCCCTATTTTGTGCCAGACCAATTAAAGTCCAGATTTTCAGCTCCCCTGGGGACTGCTTTGAGCAGGCACCTCCCTGGCCTAATGCAGGTCATTGGGATGGGAACGATAAGAAGGTGTTTTAGCTGAAGTGTCCCGTTTATCTGCACAGCAACTACTTGAAACAAATACTGTATCCTCAGTAGTACAGTACCTGTTGCATTATGGTTTCAAGAAAATGATGGCTGAGTTCACATGGCCCAGTTCAATTCACATTCACTTGTACTGAATGTTAGGTCTTTGTGTGTGTGTGTGTGTGTTTTATTGGGGATTGAACCCAGAGCCTTCAAACTAAGCTACATCCCTAGCCCTGTTTGCCCTTTTTAATTTTTCAGAGATAAGCTCTCACTAAGTTGCCAAGTTGCTCAGGCTGGACTCGGACTTGGAATTCTCCAGCCTCACCCAGAGTGCTGGAATTACAGGGGTGAACCACCCGACCTGGCTAAATTGCTTTTATTTCAGTATTGGGGATTGAATCCAGGGCTTCTCAAACACTAGGCAAGCTCTGTACCACTGAGTTACATCCCCAGCCCTAGTGTGTCTTTTCAGAGAGCCAGAGACAAAATCTGCCCCAGTCATGGTTATCAAGATGCAGACTTAAGTCCTGTAACTGGAAGACACTACCCAGGTCAGCGGGATCCCAGATCTCTGACACCTCAGGTGGGTAATATAACAGCCAGAGTTAGTCTGTGCCCACTGTGAAGGTTTTCCTGGGAGATATTACTTAATAACCTCAGCCTCCCAGATAGTCAGAAGTTTACAAGAAAAATTCTAAATCATGGAGGCTGAATTTTTTTCCGCACAGAGGTAGAAAAGGGTCAATGATATTAAATGGTAAAGCCAGGTTTACTAACTCCCCAGGTGGGATGATGTCCTTTAGTGCGTCACTCTCTTGATGATCTAACTCCAAATTCTCCATCCTTTGGCTTCTTTTAACATGAATCTGAACAACAGCCTGGAGAAGAAGACCAAACAGGTTACTAGCTTCCTACTCCATCATAAATGAATAAACTTAGGTCCTACAGTGGTTTAGATTACATCTAAATAACAGATGCTCCCCTTTAGAAGCCATCAGAAAATTAGTATACTTCCATTTTAAGTGTTTTTTGAAATTTGTACTTTGCCTATGCCATTAGGTAATCGGTAATTTGCTTTATCTGATAAAGAGAACTGGATAGGATGGAAAACACCCTAGGGCTGGGGCATTTTGACCCTCCCTGGTGTTTCCCAAACCTGGCAGGACTGAGTTTGTTCAACAGAAATGATTCTTTCAGAACCCCTTGGCCTGAAAAGTGCTGATGAAGTTAGTGTTGCTGTAGGAAACCTGGTCTGAAGCCTTGTTTGAGAGTTCTTTGAAAGTCAAGTTTGAATGAAAAGAAAAAAAAGTCAAATTAGAAAACTCAGTGATAAAACTTCAGGAGAAGGAGTTGTGTTCAGAATACCTCTTAAACCCAGGCCAGGACTCCTTCCCTGGACACCCCGCCTGGCCCTCATCTAGCCATGCTGTGTCCGTGTGGCTGTTTCATCATGATGGGCCAACTCCTTGCCCCACACCTTAAAACACACACCAGATATGAAGAACCTGTAATTCTAGGTGCAAATAGCCTCAAGCCTGGATGTGGAGTTAGCCCTGCATGGTGCTACTGGAAGGTGGTGGGACCTTTAGGAGCTAGGACCCAGTGGGAGGTCTTGGGTCACTGGGGATGGGCTCTTGAAAGGGATTGTGAGCTCTCTCACTCTCTTGCTCTCTCTTTTTTTGTTTCCCAGCTGCCCTAAGGTGAGCAGCTTGCTCTGTCTACCATGATGTGCCACTAAGCAGTTGAGCCAACTGATCATGTACTCTGAGCCAAAATGAATCTTTTCTCTTTATAAGTTGGTTATAGCATTTTCTGGTACAGTAACAGAAAGCCAATTAACACAAAGAGGAGGGAGCAGTTCTTCATAGTCATTCAAAAGAAGCTCCTCATGAGCACCTCACTGGGCCTAGGGTCTTGGCAGCAGCTGAGGGCCCCTGTGGCTCCTCAGTACTGTGTGGTCAGGATAAGGCGACACATGGGCACACCACGTGTTAGCATGATGTACCATATTTACATCCTTGGGCATATGGTACCTGGGCCTCTACTGGTACTCTTGCTCACCTACCTGCAAATGGTAGGTTTTTAAAAAAGCATCTCAGTTTGGAAAAGGGTATTCCTATTATTAGAAGTGTTTTTGCCTTGAATGTTCATCTGATATCCTAGACCTAATCTATAAACTTTTTGAAACCTTTCCAATATAGGCCTTTTAAATTACACGTATCCTGTTTTTCTTACTCTAATGCTGTTATCATTTGAGCTTCTGCCTTGTGATTGCAGTAGTGTTCCGTGAACTCTGACTTTGTCCCAGAGTCCAGACCCTCTGTAAAACACATTTAGGAGACAAGAAACATGTGTGAAAAGGTGGTATCCTGAGATAGGTCTTAAGGGATGAGGCTAGGTGGAAGGGGGGGCTCCCGGGCACTCTAGATAAAGGTCCCACATTTGCAGTGTCTGTCAGTACCAGTCTGGATGCCACAAGACACCTTAATAAGAGTAGCGACCAGCTATCTCCTTGTCATCTTTTGGCTCCAGCTTTAACACATTGGACTTTTCCTCCATCTTGGCACATTTCTCTCTTGACCTTGATAACACCCTAACTACAGTCCCAGGGCCTTACTTTCATCCCTGAAAGTTATCTTTCACAGGTGGTCTAGAGTGGTCTAGGTTCCCTTCTTGGCCCCAGATCTGGCTTCCATCCCATCATGTCATCTGCTTCCTTCCTTGACCTTCCACAGTTGCAAATGTTGAATTTCCTTTTGAAACTTTCTCTTCACTTGATCTGGAGACTGTCTAGTGTCACTTTAAGGTTTAGATTTTCAAAAAGAGCCCCATAAAGACTAATTATTTCCTTCTAGGTGTCAAGTTTGCAGTTAGAATAAGTACTCCCAAATGACCCACTGTAAATACTCAAGCAAACTGTTCAGGATTTGACTCGATATGGACAGCTTCTTATAATAGCACTTAGTCACTATGCTTTTTCTTTTCTTATTCTACCTGTATTAAGAATGCATATCTAAAAATTAAACAAGTAGCCTTTTCCACTGAACCTTAATTTTTAGTATTCATTTTAGGGTGACCCGGTGTCCTAGTTTGCGCAGGACTGGGGGGTTTCCCAAGATAAGACATTCTGCGCTTAAAACCAGGACAATCCTGGGAAACTAGTCCAGTTAGTTTTCCTACTGTGTCTCTAGAAATAGCCCTTTATCTTGCTTTTCTTTTGCCCTTGGAATTCAGAAAGCACAGGCTCCCAGAAATGCAGCATTTTTGCTTGCTTCGGCTCCCGTAGACTTTCAAAATAGTTCTGATTTCATTTAATTAGCTGCTTTCAGACTTAGAAGAGAAGACATTTGTGGGCTGGAAGTTCTAACTTGAAGGATGGAAACTGCCTGTCTAGCCTTGAAAGGAAATTTGCCGGCCCCTTACTAGTGCAGCATAGAGACTAAGGGCTGGGGCTGCGATGCTTCATGAGAAAATGAAGTCGGATGCTCCATGAGGTCTAGAGATGTTGGGGATTTGCTGCTTTTATCTAGAAAAAGAGAAAGGTTTTCCACATTTTAGTCTCTTGTAATTTTAGATCCATCTAATATTTTGCTTTAAATAAATAACAAAGCTCTATCCTATCTGGCAAAAGGTAACTAAGAGAACCGTCTCACTGCCACGATTTTAATTAGACCGTGCCCTTCTTGGCTTGACTTTACAGAAGTGGAAGGAATCAAAGGAAAAAGGAAAAGAGAAAAAGGAAAAGGAGAGGACCTCTAAAATATTTTATGCTTATTCCTAAGAAGAATATTAGAAATAAGCATTAAAAATTGACATCATTATACTCATGTTTAATGTGGCACTACACCATTCACAATAATCAAGATATGGAACCAATTTAGGTGCCTATCAACAGGTAAATAAGTAAATAAAATGTAGTACATACACACAATTGATGATTATTCAGCCATAAAAAAGAATGAAAGCCTGTCATTTACAGCAAAATGCATGGAACCAGAAGACATT